GCAGATACAGCAGGTAGGGAGCAAGCAGAAGCGTAGTCAGCAAACAAACCAAGGGTCAATAAAAAGTGGTTGCAAGCTGGAGTCAAGCAGAGGCATAGTCAGGGAACAAGCCAAAGGTCAGTAACAGGTGGTAGCAAAGATATGGGTGGCAGCAAGAGTGACAAGAGAGAGAGGAACTTCATGGGAGGAGTAAAAGATTCAAGGTTCAAGAGAAACATACAAGGCAAGGTTGTCTGAGAAATCAGATAGAGTGCTATCCAGCATCTCAGGTGGCTCAGCAATTGAGATACTGCCAGACACATCAGAGGTTGTAGGTTCATATCCAGGTCCTGAGGATAACTGTAGAAAATTCTTCCTAAATAGGAACAGCTCCTGGCCACTTTTCCCGGTTTCTTATTGTTGGAAATCCACATTTTCTTCCAGGAGTGGAAGATCTCCAGTTCTAAGATGACATCTATAGGGCCTAGACCCACATGGAAGAAAAATATATTTAAAATATATTTTAAAAAATATTCTTCCAAAAATATATTGACATACCGTATTTGCCGGCGTATAAGACGACTGGGCGTATAAGACGACCCCCTACTTTTCCTGCTAAAATGTAGTAGTGTTTGGGCTATACTCGCCGTATAAGACTACCCCTCTTCCAATGCACACCAGTGGGAGGAATAGTGCCCCATCATTGATGTCAGTGGGAGGAATAGTGCCCCATCATTGGTGTCAGTGGGAGGAATAGTGCCCCATCATTGGTGTCAGTGGGAGGAATAGTGCCCCCATCATTGGTGTCAGTGGGAGGAATAGTGCCCCATCATTGATGTCAGTGGGAGGAATAGTGCCCCATCATTGGTGTCAGTGGGAGGAATAGTGCCCCATCATTGGTGTGTCAGTGGGAGGAATAGTGCCCCATCATTGGTATCAGTGGCAGGAATAGTGCCCCATCATTGGTGTCAGTGGGAGGAATGGTGTCCCATCATTGGTGTCAGTGAGGGGTGGAATAGTGCCCCATCATTGGTGTCAGTGGGGGGAGAAGGAATAGTGCCCCATCGTTGGTGTCAGTGGGGGGGGGAATAGTGCCCCATCGTTGGTGTCAGTGGGGGGGGAGGAATAGTGCCCCATCGTTGGTGTCAGTGGGAGGAATAGTGCCCCATCGTTGGTATCAGTGGGAGGAATAGTGCCCCATCATTGGTATCAGTGACACCAATGATGGGGCACTATTCCTCCTACTGAGACTTGCTAACCCTGTTCTCGTATGGTGCTGCTGCAGCCAGCATATGTGGTTGCAGCAGCACCTCTACACAGAGCACTTACCTGCTGCTCCGGCACTCAATTTTCGCGGGGGGGCCGCTCGGCTCCGCCCCCTCGCCGGTGATTGGCCGCCTGTGTGCCTTTCCTGAGCTACAGTTCTGGCGGCCAATCACCGGTGAGGAGGCGGAGCCGCGCAGCCGCACGAACATCCAGTGGCCGAACTGAAGGAGACGCCGCGCTTCCTGGACCGGATCGTCGTGGGACTGGATCCAGGTAAGAGACGTCAGCCCCTGCAAACCCCTGTACTTAATGCCGCAGCCCCCCTAAACATGTGTACCGGCGTATAAGACGACCCCCGACTTTTGAGAAGATTTTCAAGGGTCAAAAAGTCGTCTTATACGCCGGCAAATACGGTATATTTGAAATACTACAATGTATTTACAGTATATCGATACAGTATATATATATATATATATATATATATATATATATACAATGTGTGTATGTGTATATATTATATATATATATATACTGTATGTTGAAATGCATTTTTTATTACAAAATATATGAAAAATATTTTCAAATATACTGTATGTCTTTAAAAATACATTTAATCTACATTTGTGGAATGCATTTATGAATATATGTAAAAATATATGTTAAAATTAATTTTTTATATGTTAACAAAAATCTGAAGAATATATTTTAAAAAAATAAATTTTAAAAAATATATATTTTTTAACTATATTCTTCAGATTTTTTTTTTACATATAAAAATGTCATTTTAACATCTGTTTTTACATATATTTGTAAATGCATTCCAAAAATGTAGATTTGTATTTTTAAAGACATACAGTATATTTGAAATGTATTTTTATTATTGGGTAGTTACATTCATGGAACCTGTATGCACTTTTTCACAGATCGCTTCCCATTCCTCTGCTTCACACGAGATCCCCAGGTCTCGCTCCCATGGTGAATAAGAGGAGCTAAAGAAGGCTGATAATTCCCCAATCAATGAGGCTTATAAGCGGGAAATAAGATGTCTTTGGGGGTTGAGATTTATCGCATAAAGCTGCAATGGGGCTCAGAGGTCTGGTCCACTGAGCATCAGTTCTATGAGACGTGAGGAAATGTCTGATTTGGAGGCAGGGGCGGACTGACAACTCATGGGGCCCCCCAGGCAATAGGGGATCATGGGGCCCCTGTGTCCTTGCCCAAACTCATAAAAGCCTATGAAAACGGTACCAAGGGCATCTCATGGGGCCCCCTACTGACCCCGGGCCCTCGGGCAGTGCCCGAGTTTCCAATGGTCAGTCCGCCCCTGTTTGGAGGTATGTCCAAAGTGGAATCTTGTGTGGCGCAAAAATGGCATTAATCTCTGTTAGTGAAAGAAGTTTGCCTTTTTTGAAAATGTGGTGGGCTTGAATGTCTCTATGTGGCCAAGTATGGGATAGGAAGTTAGGTGTCAAATGTTAGACTGCAGTTTCTTGTTTGTGTTCTTACCTCCTTGCTTGCTGTTCCTGATCCCTTTCACATGTGTGTTGTCTGTGCTCATCTATGAGCGTCGTCTGCTGTTCTCTGGGTTTTATTTCCTTCCCTTCAATCACTTCCTGGCTGCCTCCTTGTTTGTCTGCCTATATAAGACATGCTCAGTCTAGGCCACTTTGCCTGAGCAACTTCTGAGTTGTCTGAGCTCCTGTGTGTTGCTATTGCCTGTATCCTGCATTGACTACTTGTGTACCGATCCCGGCTTCGTTCTCCGACTGTGCTTGTTTTCCGCCTGTCCTGACCTCGGCTAGTCTATCGGATTTCCGTTTGTCTCCTCCCATTGTACTCTGCTCCCGCGAGCGGTTTCCTCATCCTCAGCTGAGCGTACCCAGGGGCCGTGACCTGGTTCCACCTTGCTGCAAGCCCACCCCCACCATCAGGGGCTCAGGTGAAGGAGCAGGCTGGGGCTTAGACTCTGCGCCCTGGGGAACCCCAAGTTGACTATCTACAAGGGCTCACTACCACAGGTGCTGACATTAGGTTCTAGACCAGGAGGTAAAGTAGGGTTAAGACGCAAAGATGTTAAAGGGCCAGAATGGATAGTTACAGCATGTGCTTTGCATGCACTTCTATAAGTTTCTAAATGGGGCCAATCAGGGGATGAGATTTTGCTTCTGTAGCAGGCTCCTTGTACAAGAGGATTTATCACACGTTCAGCAGTCAGTCCTTTCTCTCTCTCTCCCCTATTTGTAAAACCTGGGCATTCTGCCAAGTTCATGACTCATCCACTACTCAGCAAAGAACGCTGGGAGGTGGAGGAAGCAGGAAGTGAAGGGGAGAACAGAGAGACACGAGGCTGGAGAAAAGACAGGGACATGTGGAGCCCGTCCAAGCAGAGGAGGAGGCACTACAGCACCCAGCGCGGATAGAGGGACCCTGCTGTGTGTTCAGAGTCTGGTGAGCTGTCCCCTGGAGAGAGTAAGACACACCATTTACACTTTGCATATAGACTGGGACATCCACCCCCCACTGCTGGGATCCCACCCATCCGGGGCCCTGTGCAAGCCACAGATCCCTCTGCCTGCTTTGCCCCTTACCACCAGTGTAATTGAGACTGTCTGCCCTGGGGACTGACACATACTGGGAGATTGCATCCTGCGACTGCCCCTGGTCTTGGGGTGCTTTGTGTTGCCTTTAGACACTGAGGTTGGACTCTCTCAGCCCAGAAACCTAGTGAAATCGGATGTAACCCACACCAGCTGAAACTCCAAAGAAGCCTTCAGCTGCTATTTACTTCATTGTAAGGACTAAACGTGCACCAACTAGAGCTCCACCGTGACAAGGACTAGAGTGGGGGAATCTGGCTTAGTAGCCTTATTAGAGGTACCTCTTTATTGCATTCTGTTCTGACTCTGAGGTGATTTTTGGCTAACGCCCCTCAGAAGCAGAATCATACACCGGTGTGGGTAATACATTTCATCGATAGAGTATAAGTAAGTTTATTCTTTGATATCAGTTGTATTCTGCTTAAAGTGCAACTCTGCCATCCGGAGACTCTTGGCTGTGAAGACCTCTAGTGGCAGACCAAATTTACTGCATTGCATAAAAGAAGAAAAGTAAGTTTGGAAGTTGAAAGGGGAACCCCACCCCTCTACACTGCATTTCATTCTTTATAAAATTGTTCTTGTTTCATTTAACCCTGTGTCAGCAAATTTCTTGGCGGGGTATTTGCTATTCATTACCAGTTGTGCCAGAGGGATTGGGTTTGCTTAGGGTTGGATCTATTGAGCGCAGGACCCATAATATATTCCAGCTTGTCCCAAGGGGCAGTGCTACACTTCTGGTGATATCTGTTGAGGTAGGAGCCAAGGTATGTTCCATAGAGGGAAGGTCCACACTGACTTGTTCTAAAGCAATCCAGCTCTTTAGGTCGTTATGAATATTCCAGTCCACCAGATGGGTTAATAGACAAGCCTTGTGGTAAAGGGTAAGATCGGGAAGGCCTATGCCTCCCTTTGCCTTTGGTCAAGTTAACCGAGTATATTTAACCACCTCCCATCCGGCCGTTGTATATAAACGGCCGGACGGTGGCAGTGCAGAGGCGGGTGGCCGTTTATAAATGGCGTCCCCGCCCCCTGCTTGTGCGCACTCCCTGGGAGCACGCAGCCCCGTGATCCGGTGCCCGCTGTGTCCTTCGGACAGAGTGGAACACCGATCGTCAGACGGTGATCATGTGATCACTGATTTGGCCAATCAGTGATCACATGCAGAGTAGTAAGCAAGATGTCACTTGTGACATCATTGCTTACTACGTGTGCAATCTGTGAATGATCACAGAGATCACATGGTACAGGGCTATTCACAACAGCCTTGTACCATGTGACAAGCTGTGACCAATCACAGCTCACACAATAGTTCTCAATGGCTGCAAGAATGTAGCTAGGGAGAAGGAGAAATGATTGCTTTTACATCCTTTATGGGTGTAAAAGCAATCAGTGTAAAAAAATAAAGAAAAAATAAACAAAAAAAGTTGAAAAAATTTATAATTTTTAGTTATAAACTAATTTGGGTTATTTTTTTTTTTTACTAAAAATATAACGGAATACATTTTGGCCGAGATTTATGATGAAATATTATTTATTTGCAAAATTTTATAAGAAAAACACTTTATTTCAAAATTTTTGGACTTTTTCATTTATTTAGCAAAAAAAATAAAAAATTCCAGTGGTGAATAAATACCACCAAAATAAAGCTTTATCTGTCTCAAAAATGCTAAAAAATTCATATGGGTACAGTGTTGCATGACCGCGCAATTGTCATTCAAAGTGTGATAGCGCTGAAAGCTGAAAAATTGGCCTGGACAGGAAGGGGGGGGGAAGTGTCCGGACTGGAAGGGGGGGGGGGAAGTGTCCGGACTGGAGGGGGGGGGGGGGGGAAGTGTCCGGACTGGAAGGGGGGGGGGGAAGTGTCCGGACTGGAAAGGGGGGGGGAAAGTGTCCGGACTGTAAGGGAGGAAAGTGTCCGGACTGGAAGGGGGGGGGGAGTTTTGGTTCCGGACTGGAAGGGGGGGAAAGTGTCGGACTGGAAGGGGGGGGGGAAAGTGTCCGGACTGGAAGGGGGGGGAAAGTGTCCGGACTGGAAGGGGGGGAAGTGTCCGGACTGGAAGGGGGGGAAAGTGTCCGGACTGGAAGGGTGGGGGAAAGTGTCCGGACTGGAAGGGGGGGAAAGTGTCCGGGACTGGAAGGGGGTGAAAGTGTCCGGACTGGAATGGGGGGGGGAAAGTGTCCGGACTGGAAGGGGGGGAAAGTGTCCAGATGGAAGGGGGTGAAAGTGTCCGGACTGGAAGGGGGTAAAAGTGTCCGGACTGGAAGGGGGGGAAAGTGTCCGGACTGGAAGGGGGTGAAAGTGTCCGGACAGGAAGGGGGGGAAAGTGTCCGGACTGGAAGGGGGGGAAAGTGTCCGGACTGGAAGGGGGTGAAAGTGTCCGGATTGGAAGGGAGGGAAAGTGTCCGGACTGGAAGGGGGGGAAAGTGTCCGGACTGGAAGGGGGTGAAAGTGTCCATATTGGAAGGGGGGGAAAGTGTCCGGACTGGAAGGGGGGGAAAGTGTCCGGACTGGAAGGGGGTGAAAGTGTCCGGACTGGAAGGGGGTGAAAGTGTCCGGACTGGAAGGGGGGGAAAGTGTCCGGACTGGAAGGGGGTGAAAGTGTCGGACTGGAAGGGGGGGAAAGTGTCCGGACTGGAAGGGGGGTGAAAGTGTCCGGACTGGAAGGGGGGGGGGAAAGTGTCCGGACTGGAAGGGGGAGAAAGTGTCCGGACTGGAAGGGGGGGAAGAAAGTGTCTGGACTGGAAGGGGGGGAAAGTGTCTGGACTGGAAGGGGGAGAAAGTGTCCGGACTGGAAGGGGGGGAGAAAGTGTCCGGACTGGAAGGGGGGGGGGGGAAAGTGTCCGGACTGGAAGGGGGGGGGAGAAAGTGGTCCGGACTGGAAGGGGGGGAAAGTGTCCGGACTGGGAAGGGGGGGAAAGTGTCCGGACTGGAAGGGGGGAAAAGTGTCCGGACTGGAAGGGGGGAAAGTGTCCGGACTGGAAGGGGGGAAAGTGTCCGGACTGGAAGGGGGGGGAGAAAGTGTCCGGACTGGAAGTGGTTAATTCTCAGGGGTTAGTTTTGCCAGAGAAATTGTGAGCTGCAGCGTTTGTAGGCAGCAAAAAAAAGGAAGTAGGGAGGTGAATGGGTACCGTTTGCATCAGACAGAAATCTGGGAGTATTATCATTTTGAGCAGAGCTGCCCTTCCAAGCCAAGACACTTGCAAGTCAGCCCAGTGTTGAAGACTCTTGCGTCTAGAGACCAGTACCGAGAGATAATTTCTGATGTATAATTTGGATAAGTTAGATGGCGTCTGCTGATGTCTATGCGTTCCAGACTTCAGGCTGTAATTGACTGCAAAGGATTTGCAACCAAGTATTGAAAAGTGAAAGTTTGATTTATGATTATTATTATTCTGTCCCATTACTTTTTGGTCCCTTAACAAGTGGGAGGCACATATGCAAACTGTTGTAATTCCTACACCGTTCACCTGATTTGGATGTAAATACCCTCAAATTAAAGCTGACAGTCTGCAGTTAAAGCACATCTTGTTTGTTTTCATTTTAAATCCATTGTGGTGGTGTATAGAGCCAAAAATGTTAGAATTGTGTCGATGTCCCAATATTTATGGACCTGACTGTAAGTGAAAAGGTTTTAAACGGGATGCCAGGCAAAAGAGCGTCCATATTCTTTGATATCTCTGGAGATTATTGGTCAAAGATATAACATAGTCTTAGGTTCCTTAACTGGAAGAGCTGGCATTGCAAGCTAGAAATCATAATTCCTGACCTAACATTAAATCCAACAAGACTCGTCCCACGGATAGAGAGAAAAAAAAAGGGGGGAGGGGGAGAGAAAATGAAAAGAGGAGGTAAGAATGGAGAGTAGGGGAGCAGGGAGTAGGGGAAAGGGGGGGAAGGGGAAAGGGAGGGATGGAGGGCAGGGAGGGGAGAGATGGGGAAAGAGAGAAGAAAAAAAAAAGGGGGGAGGTGGAAAGGAGGGTAGAGGAAGAGGGAAACTGCTGAAGAAGGGGAAGGGAAATGGTAGGAGCAACTGGGAAGGAAAAGGGGAGAAGGGGGAGAGGCAGACATTAGGGACATGGGGGGGGGAGAGTTGTTTGGCCCAGGTTATTTAGTTTCCTGGCCTGAGCATCCGGGTAGTGCACAAAACAATGTACAAGTTGAATTCATCATTTGAGTACAGTAACTTTCTCTTCATAATAGATTCAGGGATGGATAAGGAAACCTTCAGAGTGTTAAAGAAGGGACTCACAGTAAAACAGGAAATGCAAAACAAAAAGTCCCACACCCTGCGGAGGTAACACGGCTTACACCTCAAATACACCTCTCACTGTGAAGAACCCTCAGGCTTAAGCAATGACCAGGGGCAGACTGACAACTCATGGGGCCCCCGGGCAATAGGGGATCATAGGGCCCTGTGTCCTTGCCCAAACTCAAAAAAGCCTATGAAAAGGGTACCAGGGGCATCTCATGGGGCCCCCTACTGACCCCGGGCCCTCGGGCAGCGCCGAGTTTCCAAATGGTCAGTCCGCCCCTGGCAATGACTTATAACTAGTAACTTAGCCCCCAAGTCTTAGGCACAGGAAAGCAATGGAAACAATGTTCGGGCTTTCGATATTTAACTGAAATATTGGTATTCTTGCTCAGAGAGGGGTCCACCTCACCAAGATGGACTGGTAGTCTGATGGTCTGATTGGAGACAGATGGCAATTTCTAGGTAATGAAGCTATAGGGCTTAAGGTCCATAGAGGAACCTTGAGATTCTGCGATGCACCCTATATTATATCCCGAGATAGGGATAATCAGCAAGAAAATGCCTGAAAATGTAAGTAGAGAGGAAAAACTCTACAGTAAGATCTCTTAGGTATGATATGTCATTAAAACTCTGGCCTGTCTCTACGACGAGGAGGCGATGCAACCAAGTTCTCAGCATCATCATCCCTGCGGTGGTGTCTATCCGCCTGTGTCTGTTGTGATGCCGCTGTGCTCTCGGGGTGCAATTGTTGGTCACCTCAATCCAGGTGGTAGAAAAGGAGCTATACCATTCCGGTAGAGCTATCGCAGAGACATTCAGGGTGTCGCAGAAAGCCTGCAGATCATCAGGTGTGCGGAGAGAGAGACTGACTGGCCACGATGCTTGGTCCTAGGCAAAATGGGAAATGCCAACGATACGCGATTCCCTGGATTCAAAGCTTTTCTAGAAGTGGCTGGAGAGCTCGACTTTGCTGTAGCGTAATTGGGGATAAATCTTGAAACAATTTGATTTCATGGCCAATAAACAGTATATGGTCCCCGTCTCTGGCCGTTTGCAGGATTGCTTCCTTGAGAGGGAAATTAACCAGGCAACAAATTATGTCCCTAGGATATTCTGTGTCCCTTCCTCTGGGGCGCAGAGCTCTGTGGGCCCATTCTGTTTCAATGGGGGAATCAGCAGGCCTTTCTAGAAGATCATTAAATATGGTACTCACCGTAAGTTCCAGTGCAGGTTGATCTATCGCTTCAGGGACACTACTGACCCGAATATTGTGTTGATGGCCTTGGTTATCGAGGTCTTCCAGGTGTCGGTGCATTTCCATTAGGTGAGACAAATGGAGGTCTGCAGAGCGCTGAGTTTGTCTAATGGCCTCCGCGTGTCTCTCCACCATCTTCTCTACTGTGCTGATCCTTCCCGCCATGGCTTGGACATCTGATCGAAGTTCAGAGCTAGCAGTTGCAAGGGAGGATTTTATGTCAGCGGCGATAGTCTGCGAGTCCACCAGACTAGCCAGCGGAGGAGAGGAAGAAAAACGAGATCTCCTTTCTGCTCCCGATAATCAGAGTTCATGCCCGGGGAAAATGGCGGAGGGGGATCACGAGGCCTCCGGAGTCTCAGCATGTCTGGTCTGTAACAGAGCGGGTATGTTTCCGCTGGGTTGTGTACTCAAATCTCGGGGAATGCGAGATGTAGAGGTACTCCTACCCGACTTCACCATGATAAAGCTAGAGATTGGCTCTTCTGTAGCTTATTTTAGATCCCCATGCTCCGGAGCTCCGCAGTTAAGCAGCCATCTTTGATGTGCGCCCAGCCACACCCTTCTGGGGCTTTTTAACATGTGCTTTGGGTCATTGTCCTGCTGGAAGACCCATGACCTCTGACGGAGACCCAATTTTCTAACACTGGACCCTACATTGAACCCCAAAAGTTTTTGGTAGCTTCAGATTTCATAATGCCATGCACACGGTCAAGACATCCAGTGCCTGAAGCAGCAAAGCAACCCAAAACCAACAGTGACCCCCCACCATGTGTGACTGGAGGGGACTGGATTCTTTT